AGCTTATTAGCTTCAGGAGTAGCCGAGGTTTAGCTTATTAGCTCCAGGAGTAGCCGAGGTTTAACTTATTAGCTCCAGGAATAGCTGAGGTTTAGCTTATTAGCTCCAGGAGTAGCTGAGGTACAGCTTATTAGCTCCAGGAGTAGCCAAGGTTTAGCTTATTAGCTCCAGGAGTAGCTGTGTAGCTGATTAGCTTCTGGAGTAGCAGTGTAGCTGATTAGCTCTGGGAGTATCTGTATAGCTGATTAGCTCCGGGAGTAGCTGTGTAGCTCATTAGCTCCGGGAGTAGCATAGCTGATTAGCTCTGGGAGTAGCAGTGTAGCTGATTATCTCCGGGAGTAGCAGTGTAGCTGATTAGCTCCAGGAGTGGCTGTATAGCTAGTTAGCTTCTGGAGTATCTGTATAGCTGATTATCTCCGGGAGTAGCTGTGTAGCTCATTAGCTCTGGGAGTAGTTGTGTGATTTGGATGTTTCTGAAGGCCTCCTCTGCATTAAGGAACCACAGGTCGGGGTCCTCTGTCCAGAAATCCGGGAGCTTGACGGAGACTTTGGCTACAAACTCGGTTGGAGTTTCTTTTCGGTCGGTCATGATGCTCAGATGTATCACTTAATGTTCAAAGTTCAAGAAAATCACGAAACTGGATAGCGTTTAACTGTATGTTCAAAGTCAGGGGTCACCAATATAGAGGACGTGGGTCAGACTCTAATAAAAACGCATAAATAACTTCCAGTATATATATATATTTCTTATAACTTATTACTAGAGGGTTCAGAACTCTATCTATCTATCTATCTATCTATATATCTATCTATCTATCTATCTATCTATTTATCTATATATATCTATATATATACTTTGTTTGTCTATTTGGGTGTCTGTCTGTTTGTTTGTATCCAATAAACGTCAAAACGGCTAAACAGATTGGACCCAATTTTTTTGTGGGACATCACAGGACCCCAGAGAAAACATATGATCGAATTTTTAAAGATTTACCTCTAACAAAATTCGATTTTTGACAATTTTAAAAATCTATGAAATTTCGTTATAAAATCCGCGAAATTTTTTGTTTGTTTTTGTTTAGTATTTACCTCTATCTATCTATCTAGGGAGGAAAGAGGACAAAGCTATGAGTATCTACCTCTATCTACTGGGAAAACGTTAGCTGTTAGAGACCCTAGATTTAAACTTGTGTAAGTAAAAGGGACAGTTAGCGAAATATCAAATCCAATCATAAACAAATCGGAGTATAGCCAGATGATTTTGCTAAAGACTTTAATAATTTTCTTTTCTGTGTCTATATATGATAGACATTTTTTAATTTCTGTCTGAATTCCGTAAGTAAAAGAATTTGCAACGGCAAAACCTACTCGTCTTGTGTCTTTGTCACCAAGCTTAACATATTTTATCTTAAGTTTTCTTCTTTATATTCAAGTGTCCCATCAATCCAAGCTTTGTTCAAATAACAAATATTAGTTGTCCTAAAACTTTCTTTGTAATCAGCTAATTTATAGTTGAATTTATTCAAGTCGTCAAGGACCGACTCCATCGAAAAAGTTTAAGATTTAATGAGACAAAAATATACAGATTTTACTAAGATTTAGTAAGAAAAAAATATCCAGATTTGACTAAGATTTAGTGAGACAAAAATATCCAGATTTGAATAAGATTTAGTAAGACAAAAATATCCGGATTTGACTAAGATTTTCTGAAACAAAAATATCTAGATTTTACTAAGATTTAGTGAGACAAAAATATCCAGATTTGACTAAGATTTAGTAAGACAAAAATATCCAGATTTGACTAAGGTTTAATAAGACAAAAATATCCAGATTTGACTAAGATTTTGTGAGGCAAAAATATCCAGATTTGGCTAAGATTTAGTAAGACAAAAATATCCAGATTTGACTAAGATTTTGTGAAACAAAAATATCTAAATTTGACTAAGATTTTGTGAGACAAAAATATTCAGATTTGACTAAGACTTTGTAAGACAAAAATATCCAGATTTGACTAAGATTTTTTGAAACAAAAATATCTAAATTTGACCAAGATTTTGTGAGACAAAAATATCCAGATTTAAGATTGAGAAAGCAAAAAAAGAAAAAAATATTTAAGAAAACTTCCTGAATGATTTTCGAACTTTTTTTTGTTGTTTAAAGGGAGCGACCGGCAAGAGAAAAGGTAGTTTATTGCTTTATTTTTTGTGACATAGTTCGTCGTCGTTTTTAAATAATTTTTTAAAAATCGACGCTAAAAATGTATCCTCTAACACTAAACAGTACAGGACCACTTTAATCTACGTCTTTACAGTCTAGTCTGATTTAAAAAATTCTTAAGGAACTTTTACTTTTTGTTTAATCTTTTCAAATTACTATTTTGTTAAAAATCAAAATACTAGTTTTAATTTGAATTGGTGCTATCTGCACATATCTATTCCTTTCACATTTCACTAAATTAATTAAAAGTTTAAATTAAGTTTTACCGTTTATTAAGTAAAACTGAAAATATTTTGATGGAAAATCAGATTTAAGATAAATCACGTTTCATTTACTCCTCTGTATGCCGAATCCATTAGCGCCTGATCCAATCAGGGTTCAGTCATGTGTTTGTTGTCTATTCTGAAGCAATAGAAATAGTATAGCTGTAACATCTATCGTTCTATCTATCTCATTATCCAATCAGAGTTATGAATCCTTCAGTCGGCGCTATCAGTAAATGGAAATATGTACTTCTACTGAAACTATAGTGCATTGGATACAAGGATACAAAGGATGATACTAAAATAACGACCTAAATCTCTTTAAATTTAACGATTTAATCTTAGGCTTATGCCCTAAATATAGGCTTTTTTTAAACAAAAAATACTGACAAAATTCCGTACAGTCGTCTCTTAAGTCTTTTTGGGTTGCTCTGCATTACACAGTCTTCCACCATTTAAAAGTAGAGTAGCAACCTTGCGATGTATAATCGTTATTCTACCTCTTCTTGGACAACTATTAATTGTACATAGAAAATTCAGTACGGTACATGTGAATTCGTCGTGCACTAGAGCTTGTGCTGGAACAAAACAAACACATGGTTAAAGCTTAAATAAATGTAAATAATTATCTAATCTCACCTTCCATCGGCTGTTGATAAAAGCATGCAGGGTGTTCCGAAAAACCTGAAGTGGTAGCTAGTGCATCGATTTTGACCTAATATTAACGATTTGTACATTATTGTTATCTATTCAAAGTTTCTGATTGAAAACTAGAGACATCCATCATCTTTGTTGAAAATCAGAGCTTTGCTTTTGACATCAAGGATGTTTTTCTTTATCTGCTCTTTCTTCCAATGTTTTGTTCTCTAGCTGGTGCACGGTTGTAGGAGAATGACAAATCTTTTAAATTCTAGATTAACTTTTCAGTTCAAAATTGCTTAACTATTGACTACGATACGATTCCTTATCTTATTTGAAATAAAGCTGAGCTCAAAGTTCTGGTCTCAAATAAGCAAGTTAAAAGCATAGAAGATATTTTATTTATCTTTGAAACTGACACAATATAAATCCTTAAAAACTAAGTACTAGGGAGAACATACATGAATACGAGCCTACAGAGTAAAAGAATCAATCTAAAAGAACTAAGCTAAACTTGGAAATAGAAAAGGGGAGCAAAAGCAAAAAGTAATAAAGAAAACTTTAAAACCTGAATAGGCGGAATCACACGCAGTTTCACTCTGGAGAAATTTCTGTTATGAACTCAGACTTGGGGAGAAATCAAGCCCCTTTTTATACTCCCAAGGGAGCAGGAACTGCGTGCGATAATTGGACTATTCAGATTTTGATTGGTTATTTATATTTATAATGATACATAATTGGGTAGTAAGGGTTCCTATTGGTGGGGATAAAAGAGTTGGGTGTCTTTTTGATTATCTTAATTATAATAATTGCGTTGCATGAGATCTGATTGGCTCTAACAGAGAAGAGGGGTTCAAAGAGAGGGGGACAAATTTCACCATGGAGTAATTATAACTCGTTTAGTTCTAGAACTTTCGGTTTAAAACAACATAATACGGGTAAAAACAGACGCTTCAAAATTATGAAAAGAAGGGGACGTATCTCCCCCTACGGTAATTATAAATAATTAACTTTAGGAATGTGGTAGAACTATGGATACATACATACACGGTTTACTTAGTCTGTGGGTTTAAACTTACTTTTAGGTTTAAGATTACTCCATAAATATAAATCCCAAGGATTGAGGTTTCTAGATCTAGCAGGGCAATCCCTTCCTTTTCATCAGAGGAATAAACTTGAATAAGGTGTGAAACGAGAATGATGGATGAAGAGAATGACGGCTCTAGTTTACTACATTCAATCAGAAATTTTCAGTAGACATCAATGATATCCAAAATTGTCAATAATGGTCCGAAATTGTCAATAATGGTCCGAAATTGTCAATAATGATCCGAAATTGTCAATAATGGTCCGAAATTGTGAATAATGGTCCGAAATTGTCAATAATGGTCCGAAATTGTCAATAATGGTCCGAAATTGAAGCGTTTTAGCCACCAGTCCAGGTTTTTCAATGACACCCTGTATATTCTAACAAATTTGACCAAACCTAATTTTTTATGCATATTTTCCATCTTGAATAATTTTAGGTATGATGCTTCAAGTTCCGCATATACTCTATCAATCACCGATATACAGGTCAGCCGGTCTTCACATTCAAACCTTTTTTCTTTATGCCTCTGTCATGCATTACTTTTTTTTCTTGAAATATTTGATCATATATTTGGATATAACATATGCTTGATGTCACGATTTTTAAGTTTATGTAACCCAGGGTTCAGTTTAACCAATATCATAAAAGTATTGTAAAATCTGATACACTTCTACATTATACAAGATACATATATATATAGCGGAGGGGTTGGGGGGAGGTTATTGAAGACGACCAAAAATAAACAGTGCACAATTAATATGGAAATAATCTCGTTAATGGGAAAAATTACAATGTTTTCATACCGGGTGAACTTAAAGAGAAACAATAACTTTAATTTCCTTTAAAAATCTTCTAAACTGATGTCGAAGCAGATTGATAATGATTGATTTATTTAGAATTAGTTCAGCCTGTCTTTATCTATCTTTCTATCCATCTATCTAGCTATCTTTCTATCTATCTATCTATCTTTCGATCTATCTATCGATTTATCTATCTATCTATCTATCTATCTATCTATCTATCTATCTATCTATCTATCTATCTATCTATCTATCTATCTATCTATCTATCTATAGGTCCGGCTACCAGCTGAGATACACTCTAACCAGACCTCTGAGCAAACTGTAGTGGAAGGAGAAGATATAGTTCTTAACTGTCCAGCTACTGGTTATCCTCATCCTAGGTATCATTCATTCATTCACTCTTTCAGCCGTCTTATCCTCATCCTAGGTATCATTCATTCATTCACTCATTAGCCGAGCTACTGGTTATCCTCATCCTAGGTATCATTCATCCTTTTACTCATTCCGCCGTCTATTTTTTCCCACTTATATAATTTAGATCTTTTTCTGCATTTATTCATTTATTTTTTTTCCTTTATTTCATTTATTTATTCAGTCAATTCATCCTTATATCCCTTTTATCTATTTATCTTTTATTTTATTTATCTATTTATTTATCTATCTCTCTATCTTTTTTATCTCTATATCTATTAATTAGGGTAGAATGGAGAAGAAAGGATAGAAAAGTTCTGCCCGATACCTCATCAGTTAAACTGTACGGAGAAACACTGCAGTAAGTGAAAAGTTTTTTTCTGACATTTTTTTTTAATAGTTTCCATTTTTTGCGCTCTTTTGGGGTTTTGATTATTTATTGTCTCTATATCTATTAATTTAAAAATTTTTTGAGCTTTATAAGTTTACAATGCAATGCGTTGTTATTGGCAAGTTTTAATTTTTTCACAGGGGCATTTATTTTACGTGTATACTTATTACACAATTTTTTCTCTTATTTTAGACTACTTACTATTTACTGTGAAAAATGATTTCCTGGAGAGGGTGATTTTCACCAAAATGAACACCCCTTATCTTGTATTTGATTTCAGGATAGATAGTGTGAGGAGAGAAGATAGGGGTGAATATTCTTGCACTGCAGATAATCAAGTTTCTGCCCCTGTATCAAAACATTTTACTCTCAAGGTATAGCCCGAATGTTAAGACAGAGTATCGTCATAAAAACCCGGTATCGGAACCAGGGTTAGGACAATTTTCTTATCAATTTTTTGGTTCAAAATATTTTTATATGATTAGTATTATTGTTTTTTAATTCTTACATTAAAATCTTAGGAGTTTCATTCACCAATACTCTCTTAAAGGGACTGTAAAGGAAAAATGAAAGGGGGTATAGACTGAAAGCTAATCACTTTAGCTCTTGATCGCGACCCATGAAAGTTATATCTGATGTTCCTATCTCGAGAAACTGATTTACAACTTTGTCAAATTTATACGAAAATTAATATATATACAATTTTGTATAAAAGTAGTGGGTTTAAAAAGATCAAATTCAGCAAATATGCAACCAATCTGAAAACGATGATATCCCAGAGAAAGCCAATTGTAACTTACGCTTACTCCAATTCTAATTTTATATTTGTTATTTCTATTTTTAATAGATTTAATTCATAATATTATTTATATAAGTCCGTATTACTTGACCAGAAATTCCACCAATGGCAGTGCAGTAAAGTGGTCACGTGACCAGTATACTGCTCTGCCATTGGTGATAGTTCTGGTCACGTGATTTAAGTTTCAGATTTTCAAAATTTTACATGTATGAATTTTTGAATAATTTTAACACAGTTTTATATCACTTTCTCGAGACAGGAACATCAGATATAACTTTCATGGGTCGCGATCAAGAGCAAAAGTGATTAGCTTTCAGCCTATACCCCCTTTCATTTTTCCTTTACAGTCCCTTTAAGGTTCCGCCTTTTGGTAACTGTTACAGTTTTTACCGTGTACATCAGTACTAATCTTTTAACTGGTTTTCTATCAACTTTTATCTTTTAGTTGTTGCTCTTTAATTCACCAATCAAACAAAATATTGATCTCAATGTTTATGTGAAATTTATTTCTGAGCAGTATTATTGCTTTTACAAAATAAATGTGAAATGTCTCCAAACTGTTCTTAATTATTTGTTCTGAGAAAAAATATTACAACATTGTTTTAAAGATTTTTTCAGATCAGCATTTTACTATTTTGTATTTTTGCGTGGAAATACGTTAAAATTTTGTTTAAAATTCTTCTTTATTCAAATATCTTCCTAAAAATTTCTTTATGATTATTTATTGATTTTTTAGGTTAGATTTGGACCTAGAATATCTGTTCCTAGACCTAGAGTTCATCAGGCACTCAGGTAATTTATTGTAGATATAAAGTTGTAATCTCTGTTTGTTTGTCTGGTCATAACTCAAAACACCCTGGACAGATTTGCTTTAAATTTTGATTAGGGTACTCGGGAGACCCACGGGAATGTTCTCAGCTTAGTTTTAAGATTCTTTATTGAGTGGGTTGACTTTAAAAGCAAAAAATTAGTTTCCCGGTAAAATCGTTTAAGTGCGGGTAAACGGCGGGAGTAACTTTTAGTAACCAGGGCAGCGCTGGGTTCCCAGGCTAGTTTAAAATAAAAGACAGAAATTCATCGCACTTTTTAAAATGGAATTCTATCCACATGGAAAACAGATAAATTCCACAAAAGAAGTTTTGTAAATCCGCAATTTCAGTTTAGATTGGAAAAAGCAACAAGGTTTGTGTATAGAATACAGAATACTAAAACAATATATCTAAATAAACACGATTCAACAAGGTTTGTGTATAGAATACAGAATACTGAAACAATATATCTAAATAAACACGATTCAACAAATTGTATTGCAGCTGTATCGGAAAATACTTGGAAGAGAAAAACAAAAATTAAAATTGAATATTTAGGTTTTTAGAATTTCAATTCTTATGCTGTGACCGCTATGATTTTGTATATTTGTGTTACATTAATAACAAAGTTGTGTATTTCGGGTTAAAATCAACATTATATAGAACTTCCATTGAGAGTCAAAATTGTCCATATATCCAGATAAACTAGTTTTTTGAGAAGAGGAGGACAGTTTTATAATATTTAAAGGAATCTAGGCTTTTAGGCAAAGATAATAGAATATATATTAGAGGGGAATTTACTAGAAAAAAGTGTAAAACGGCCATTTAGTTGTACTGTTTCCATACTGCAGGTGTACTTCACATATTTATGCTATATAACCTTTTGGGTCCTGGAATATCATTTTATAGAAAATCTAAAATTAATATTAAAAGAAAACCAAATTATGAAATTGGCTGGTTTCATAATTGACCAATAATCATTTCACATAGACTCTATGCATTTCATTTTACAAACGATGATTTAAAAATTTCGAAATTGAAATGGATAGTCTATGGAAAATACTGTATTAATGTACTCTACTGCATATAATTTGTGAACATTTACATGATTTGTAAATGTGAACTCCCTTTCAGGCTTAAAAAATTTATACCGAGAGATTCTCTAAATTCCCCTCTAATATATATTCTATTCTCTTTGCATTTTAGGGCGTTTTAGGTTCATCTTCTATTTCAACTTTAAATTGTTGCTCTTTGTGTGTTTTCTCGTTGTAAATTGTAAAACAATAAGAAACATAAAATTACAGGATTTTTTTTTCGATAATTTTTCTTATTTTTACAAAAATTGTAATGTTATGTGGCGAATTTTCCCCGGGGTCATGTGAGGTCCCACACAAAATTTGGGCCCAACCGGTTCATCTGTTTTGAGGTTTATTGGATACAAATAGACAAACAGACAGGAAACCAGTAAAGTACATTATATAAATGGAATGTAATTCTTGAGTGCTTGATCTGAATCATGAATCAAAACTTGAATATTTACATAGAAACTTATTCAAACATTTTCCTGTTTGGTGATTAGCAGAATCTAGAATTATTTGTTTTTAGCTTTACTAGGAAAAATGGAGAAAGAACTCTGGAATATTTAAGATGGACTTAAATATAATTGAAAATCAATCAAAGAAAAAAATTCAAAAAAATATCTAAAAGCAAAAGCTTTGTCGTTTTTTATGATGTCTGTTTTGAAGATTTAAACAATTTTAAGCACTCTTTTTTATGTTAACCAAAGTCCACATTTTATAGATATTCAACAATTTATTTGAAATGTACTATCTATTTGAAATGTACTACCTATTTGAAATGCACTACATATTTAAAATGTACTACCTATTTGAAGTGTACTACCTTTTTGAAATGTACTACCTATTTGAAATGTACTACCTATTTGAAATGCACTACCTATTTGAAATGTACTTCCTATTTGAAATATACCACCTTTTTGAAATGTACTACATATTTAAAATGTACTACCTATTTGAAATGTACTACCTTTTTGAAATGTACTATCTATTTGAAATGTACTACCTATTTGAAATGTACTACCTATTCGAAATGTACTACCTATTTGAAATGTACTACATATTTAAAATGTACTACCTATTTGAAATGTACTACCTTTTTGAAATGTACTACCTATTTGAAACTTACTATCTACTTGAAATGTTCTACCTATTTGAAATGTACTACCTATTTGAAATGTAATACCTATTTGAAATGTACTACCTATTTGAAATGTACTACCTATTTAAAATGTACTACCTTATGGCGATCACCATCGAATTCGATTCGACGTTAGCCTAAACCCCTTTCATTTTTTGCGAACACTCTCTTTAAGCTCATCCGAATTGTTCAAATATTCCTTTCAGACGCTTTGCGCCACTTTTTCCATTATTTAGTTTTATGTTTGGCTTTCTAATTGAACTTTGCGTTTTTGTTCTAACTCATGAAACTAAAAATTGTTTAGATTTGTCTGTTTTCTATATTGGATTTCCCATTTTTTTAACACAGATTTGTTAGGGATTAGACCGTTCAAAAATTCAAGATGGAGATGTTAAGTCATACAAAATATTTAAATATTTCGGCAAAGATGGCAATGTCCGGTTTATACCTTATATATGTCCTTTATGCTTTTTCTGATCAAGTATGAATTAGAAATCTATGTTTTGGTTTCTTTAAACTGTTTATTTTCATTTGCAGTTTCTCTGCAAAAGTCAATTTCGCATTCTCATCAGAAGCAATGTAAAAATTCAAAGAAATAAACCCCTTTTGACTCAGAAAAACGACATTTTTTACCCAGATTAAGTTTTTAAGGGTACCGTTGTAAATTGGACATTGCCGTCTTTGCATGGAGGTTCACTTGAAGGTAAGCTTACAGTCCCTTTAATAAGATACTTTTACCCCCACTCCTTCATTGCAAAAATATCTTTAAAGTAAAGCATCCCCAAAAATCTCATTTTTCTATCAGGCAAGAATAAAACGCGTATCATAATCCCTGGGAAAATCCAAATTCAATTTAAATTTTGAAACTTGAAAGTTTTAAAATTTCTTTACAGTTAATCTTTAATGAGGAGAGGATATATAAAATATTAAAAAGAAAGGAGACTTTAAGAAGAATTTTTAATTTCTACGTTGTGTTGCTTACACAATTTAAAATTGCGTTTGTGTAATTCAAGATAACTTTTATTTGTGTAATTCGGGATTACATTTCTTTGTGTAATTCGGGATTTCATTTATTTGTGTAATTCGGGATTACAATTCTTTGTGTAATTTGGGATTACATTTATCGGTGTAATTCGGGATTACATTTCTTTGTGTAATTCGGGATTTCATTTATTTGTGTAATTCAGAATTACATTTATTGGTGTAATTCAGGGATTACATTTATTTTTGTAATTCGGGATTACATTTATTGGTGTAATTCGGGATTACATTTATTTGTGTAATTCGGGATTACATTTATTTGTGTAATTCGGGATTACATTTATTTGTGTAATTCGGGATTACATTTATTTGTGTAATTCGGGATTACATTTATTTGTGTAATTCGGGATTACATTTCTTTGTGTAACTCGGGATTACATTTCTTTGCGTAATTCGGGATTTCATTTATTTGTGTAATTCGGGATTACATTTATTTGTGTAATTCGGGATTTCATTTATTTGTGTAATTAATTCGGGATTTTTGTGTAATTCGGGATTACATTTATTTGTGTAATTCGGGATTACATTTACAAAAAGTTTGTTTTGTAGTTTTAAATATTTTAGCTTGCAATATTTCGGATAAATTTACTAACTTAATTTAAGATAACGTTTCCTCCATAACTTAGGATTCCTTTGCTTACATGTAATTTATGATACCTTTGCGTGCAAATTTATGATACCTTTAAGCCTGCAAATTTAAAATAGCTTTAAGTCTGTAAATTTAAAATACCTTTGCCTGCAAATTTAAGATAGTTTTGCCTGCACATTTAAGATAATTTTGCCTGCAAATTTAAGATACCTCTCCTCCAAATATAAGATACCTTTAAGCCTGCAAATTTAAAATACCTTTGCCTGCAAATCTAAGATACCTTTGCCTTCAAATTTAAGATAACTTCGCCTTCAAATTTAAGATAACTTTGCCGGCAAATCTAAGATACCTTTGCCTGCAAATTTAAAATACCTTTGCCTGCAAATTTAGGATACCTTTGCCTGCAATTTTAAGATACCTTTGCCTGCAAATTTAAGATAACTTTGCATGCAATTTTAAGATACCTTTGCCGGCAAATTTAAGATAACTTTGCCGGCAAATTTAAGATACCTTTGCTTTCAAATTTAAGATACCTTTGGCTGCAAATTTAAGATACCTTTGCCGGCAAATTTAAGATACCTTTGCTTTCAAATTTAAGATACCTTTGGCTGCAAATTTAAGATACCTTTGGTAAAGTGATTTAAGAAAACTTTATTTGGTAATTTTAGGACTAGGAATTTTGTTTTTAATTTGAAATAGAAGAACTATGCCTCCGAATATTCAGATTTTCTACAATTTTTGGAAATCCACAAAGGAAAACAGAAAATCTGCAAAATCTGAAACTTTTGATAATGTGCAAGGTAAAATAGAAAAGTTGAGCTGAAACTATAGCACCACCCCGGAAATCTTTTTTTCTACAACATCCTAATATGAGCTCTTCATAGTTTGTAGTGACAGAAACTGTAAATGTCCAAATATTGAGTTCTCTTTAAAAAGGGAGAGACCGGCTAGACATCGTCGTGGAACAAAAAGTGCAATATTATAGAGTAAAAATTTAGGATTCATTTGATAACAGTCAGCTGAAGAAACTTTTGTTTACAATTGTTAAATAACATTTTAAACGACATTTTATAGAATTCTGCGAGTAAAATTATAGAAACAGCAAATGTAATGATGATAATGGAATAATAGAACCTACGGTTCTACTATGGCTTTTATCGATAATTTCTTTTAAAAAATATGTTTCAAAAAGTAAATTAGATTATATGAAATTTTTGGACATGTTTTGTCCGGATTATTAAGTAATTATAAATGTTTTCTTCTGTTAACTAAAACAACTGGTAAAATATCACCAACGACTGTACGCTACCTGTACACCGTAAACTGTACGACTGTACGCTAACTGTACACCATAAACCAACGACTGTACGCTAACTGTACACCGTAAACCAACGACTGTACGCTAACTGTACACCGTAAAAATAGAAGTGAATCTTTTTCTACAAAAGTGCACTCTCACCTCACCAACTCTTGCTGCCGGTCTCTCCCTTTAAATCTAACTCTGCATATTTAATATTTAGTCCAAATTCCTTGGAATCAAATTTAAGAATTTTAACAATAATTTTTAAGACCAAATTTATCGGGATAAGATGAAACTTATAAAATCCTTTTTTGTGGCGAAGCCCAGCAAATGTTTGTAAAATGTTAAAATCTTATTTTATTTTTAGTCATGGTGTATCTCTGGTCTGTGATATTGAAGCCTACCCTGCCCCTGCAATAACATGGACAAAGGAATTAACAGATTTTAAGAGCCAATTATTTAAGTAACCCTCCATTTATGAATTGGTATGTCCGATTCACAGCGCTTCACTTTAAACCTTCGGCTCAAGAATGAATGAGATATAATTGTTTTCCATCTGAAAATGTAAAATGCCAAATTGTGGTCTCTCTGTCGGTACTTTTACTTCTTTTAAAACATATAAACGACGATATGTTCCTAATTATTACTCAGAAAAACGTGTAAAGTTCAAAACGAAATTATGTTTACATGTAGTAAACGCCTACTCCATAACAATTGCTTGTACCAGTATCTATCCAGGTACAGTCTAGTTTCACTTAGTTATCAATGTTTAACCAGGATACAATCCAGTTAGCTACCGATATCAATCGCAACTATCGATCCCAAATTGAAGGGGACGATCCTTAACCTGTTTATCAAAACAGGGAACCACGCAAATGCGATCCCTGCTCCATCAACGCCACTACTAATAGGCGTGATCTCGTCAGCTATCGATATCAATCGTAAGCTAGTCACAATCGATCCCAAATTAAAGGGCCTCAACTTGTTAAGCAAAGCAGAGAACTACACGAATTTGATCCACGCTCTGTCAACGCCACTACCAATGGGAGCGATCTTGTCAGCTATCGATATTAATCGGAAGCTAGTCACAATCGATCCCAAATTACAAGGGACGATTCTCAACCTGTTTATCAAAACAGAGAACGATTACTATCTCGTAGTAAACAATACGGAGTTTCTATATTAACTCACTTTATTTAGATATCTTATGTTACAAGTTAAAGTGAATTGACGTATAATTACAAGTTTATTGTACGTATTGATAAGATTAGCGAGGATAGATATAACGTAGTTAAGCTATCTTTACGCATGTTTACAGCGTAGTTATAGATTAATGTGGCGTATTTAAAGGATTAAATCGAATAGGTATGAACGTAATCACAATGCATGTTTTAATCATATTAAGTAGCTCATTTTTAATATATATATATATATATATATATGTGGGTATGCTCAGTTCAACAAATATGGGGTTTGCTACGATATTTGCTACATACAGTTCCAATAACCGCCTATACCAATTGGGCTATTTTTGTCTTATGTAGAAGTTTTATAGAAGTTAAGCAAAAACTATCCGTACTTTATATTTTACATAATAATGCTATAATACATACGGCTAATTTTACATTATAGAACACCTATTGTAATGAATGATAAAGTACACAAAATTTCATTAATAGTTATAAAAAACATGGTTGGAAAGATTTATTAAATACATAAATATTGCAAGAAAAAAATGAAGGCAAAAAATGTTTTCCAATCAAACTGTCTTTTCCATCCTTTCGCGTAATTAATCGAAAACAGGTCTCATTAAGTTTTAAAGTTATAAAAGAAATATTTTTTAACTTTTGTAGAGTGACTGAAAGAAAAGAGTTATTTTATAAACCTTAGAGTATAAATAAGAAAGGGAAAGGTTAATCAAAATCATATACTCTAAAAATGCATCAGTTTGTTTACTAATTTAAATATATATGTTGATTCAGAGCTATTATTAAAACTTTCCAGGTTGAGTAATGCTNATCGATTGAAAACTTTAAATTTCGTTTAAGTTTTGCTTCACTTTTTAGTATTATTAATACAAGCTGATAATTGATAATGTTTAAAGGGCACCATGTAGAAATTTACAATGATACTTTCATCTGATCAAGGCCGAGTAAGATATCTGTCTTTTTTAAATGGAAAAATTATCATTTTAAATTTGGTTATCATTAAAAGTGACTTTCGGATTTAAACAACTGCGACGGTGCAAGAAATTGTCAGAATTCAGCATGTACTAAGTAAAGAAAACAAGTTACCTAAGTCTGACATCACAGCCCAAAACTTAAGACAGGGTATCATTATGAAAACCAGTTTTAAAACCCGGGTTTTACGAATGGGGTTAGACAGTTCTGTGGATATCAATATTTTTGTTATGAAATTGTTTTTCATATTCTTCATTTTCATTGAATTTCTTAAATCAAAATCTACACAAATGTTAAGAGTCCAAAAAGGAAACTCAAGAGTTTCGTTCTACGATACTCTTTTAAATTTCGGGCTCTGACATTGTTGAGTTTACGGGTACAGTCTCTTTAACAATTTATAAAAATGTTCATCTATCAAGTTGGCAGGGAGCGATACGTTGGCTGGAAAATATAAATAAACTTAAATCTTTCATCTAAAGAAGTATCATCAATGCATGTCAATGAAGATATTGAAATATTTCTGCAAAAAACAACATTAGAATCGTTTATTTTAGTAAATTACAGTTTAGTCCTGTGATAAATTGATACATTTTTAAAACCTTGGACCTATCTGATTTGGCAGAATTCATACAGTGATAACCAAAAAACTTCGGAATAAAAAGACGACTTTTCGACAAAAAAAAATACTTTAAATAGGCTAATGAGCATTGGACATCGCTGTTTTGTAGTGGGAAAGACCCATTTCAATTAAATGGTGATTTAATCAGTGACTAGTATTTGCTTTGTAACACCAACAAATTCACCTAAGTATTGTTATAAAGTCGTCTTCCTATTTCAGAGTTTTCTGGTTATCACTGTAGTTTAAAATATAAAAGGTCTAAGAGGTATAAAAGGTTGCAAAGGTATAAAGATTAGGAAAATAAGAGTCCATTTGTAAAATTTCCATTTAAAAAATGTCCTTTTTGTAAAATTTCCATGTATTAAATGATCATCTATAAAATGTCCATCTATAAAATGTCCATCTATAAAATGTCCATCTATAAAATTTCCATCTATAAAATGTCCATCTATAAAATGTCCATTTGTGAAATATCCATCTATAAAATGTCCATCTATAAAATGTCCATCTATAAAATTTCCATCTATGAAATGTCTTTTTATAAAATGACCATCTATAAAATGTCCATCTATAAAATGACCATCTATAAAATGTCCATCTATAAAATATCCATCTATAAAATGTCCATCTATAAAATGTCCATCTATGAAATGTCCATCTATGAAATGTCCATCTATAAAATGTCCATCTATAAAATGTCCAATCTATAAAATGTCCATCTATAAAATGTCCATCTATGAAATGTCCATCTATGAAATGTCCATCTATAAAATGTCCATTTGTGAAATATCCATCTATAAAATGTCCATCTATGAAATGTCCATCTATGAAATGTCCATCTATAAAGTGAACCATCTATAAAATGTCTCAACCCCCCAATATGTCGTCTTTATATTTAAAGAATCTGGTTAATATAGAATGGTGTGAGTATTGTAAATGAGGAGAACTATTTTGTTGTTCATTTTTCACGAGGAGACACTCTCACTGCATCTACTGTAAAGGTTGGTTAATGTATATATTACGTCAAGTTAAAGTAAATTGCACAAATGATACACATCTTAGATGTTTTACGCAAAAGTAAGAGATAAACATATCACGCACCTCTGCCCCTTTAGTAATAGTAAATTCAACCTATATAAAGCGTAAAGTCTGACCGCGTCAATCTTGTTGCACCGGCTAGTCCTGTCCATAGAGCTTGTTACAGTACAAACTGGGACTGGAAAGGTTGACCCGGCACGGAAATTCAAATGTACTACGGCTGCCCGTGAAATGTATTCGGTAACATACATAATATAATCTTCTCTCTCCAATAAGAGGAGTTATAATTTAAAACATATAAACATATAATATTACGTGTAATTTAATTTAGCTTAACGTGTTACTGCTGTTTTTTGCCAAAATAGCATTCGTTCGTCAATATTGAAAGGCGTATTTCGTTCGTTTAAACAAATTGATTTCGTTCGTAATCAGAACTATCGTTCAGTGAAATCGTCTGTTCAGTAAAATCGTTCGTTTAGTAAAAAACGATCATTTTTCCTAAAGGTTGTTTCAAAAATCGACCGTTAGATGGTTATCATTGATCATGTGGCCGCAGCGCCCGGCCCCCTAGTCTGTCCTAGCTGCAGCAATCGGCCTCCTAACCGCAGCGCTCGGCCCAGAAAATGTCTTGACCTAACTTAACCCTAAAATAATAAAAAATAAATTAATAATTTTGCTGAAATCATGTACAAAATTGATAGGAGGGGGGGGGCCAGGGGGTGGGGGTCCAAAAATCGTTTTCTAGGACAGACCCAATTCGTTTGTTCAGTAAAAAAACGATAGTTTTTTCAAGTTCGTTTGAGCGATTACAGATAATTTGTTTTAAAAAAATGATCGATTTTTATCGCTCTGAATGATCCTGACCGTTCCTCCAACGTTTTCGAACAATTTTGTGCGTTCACGAAAAAGATAAACTGTAAAACTAACTGTAACTATTGCTTTAAAGGTTTAATGTCCTCGCCTTTTCTACAGTTTTCTGGTTCTCACTTTATACATTTTCATATAAACCAAATATAGTGATACTTATATACCTAAATCCCTACCTAAATCTCTACCTTAATCCCTATCTAAATCCCTACCTATATTCTTACATAAATTGCTACCTAACTACTTACCTAAATTCTCACGTAAATTCTTAAATAAATTCTTACCCAAATTCCCACCTAAATTCCTACTTAAATCCCTCTCTTAATCTAAACCTAAATCCTTATTTTAATCCCTACCTAAATCCTTATCTTAATCCCTACCTAAATCTCTACATAAATATCTACCTAAATCCCTCTCTTAATCTATACCTAAATCCTTATTTTAATCCCTACCTAAATCTATACCTAAATTCCTACCTAAATCCATGCCTTAATCTATACCTAAATCCTTAACTAAATCTCTACATAAATCCTTACCTAAATCCCTCCCTTAAAAACCTACATCAAGAATTTCCATATCTTTGCTTTCCAAGTTCAACCAAACGCCAAACGTACCCATATCTATTAATCTAAATAGAATTTTCTTTATTTAGATTGATTACTTAAATCCCGACCACTTTGGTATCTATGAATGCCACGCTTCCAATATTCATGGCGAAGCTACCCAGCGACTTGAACTCATCCAGACTAAAATACCTATACCTGTGGTGAGTACTTTTTAGGGAATCTGATACTACATTATTGATTCACAACTGTGTACCTTTTACTCGATTCTCAGACTCACCAGGGCAAGATGCATTCGAGGCCGAATTTAAAGAATTTGAGCGGCGGCTTAAATTTAAGCCGCGGCTTAAATATGGTTGGTTCCGCTTAAAATTGTATTAAATGTTTCAAGATTTAAGCCGGCGCTGAATTAAAACCGGGTTTTGGCGGATTTAAGCCGCGGCTCAAATTCTTTAAATTCGGCCTCCGGTTTCTTAAATTTCAATTCAATTACGTGTTAGTCTTTAATTCAACTATCTTTAAACGTACGGACTTGTCTTTTCAATTTTTTCGTTTAAAAAGCATCGGCCGACAAAAAAAAAGTATAGAAGAGAAAATGTGAATAAAACATGTTTAATCGGTCCAATTGTGAAGGTCACAGTTCTCTGAACTGAATCAGCGTTGAATCAGCGGCGTATTAATTAATTTACAATTTACATTGACTGTATTGTAAATGCAATATCAAGAGATCCTCCACTTCTAGACTGACATGCCTGAATATCAACGCTATATCTCCTAAAAACCTTTCTTTGTTCAAAAGTAGAGAGTTAGATATCCATGTTTAAATATTGGAAAATTATTATTTTATGTTGTAAGGTATTGCCATCTTTGCATGTAGTGTTAATAATTTAGTAAGCTTAAAATTATAATCAAAAGTTCATTTAGTGGCCAAATTAGTTTAATGTTTAAATTAAGAATATTTAAGGATAGAATATTTTCATTAAAAAGTGAAATGAAGATGTTGGTTTGAGAGGGAGTCTAGTATAAATTATTTTTCTGATTAAATCTTTTGTTGAATTTTCTAAAAATAAAAATGAGTTTGCAGCTTTGCTTAATTAGATTCTTTTTCTTCTGGCTCTTTACCTTTTCTTCTTTATTCTTTTCTGTTCTCCCCTCTTATTAATAACTAGCTGTGGTGGCCGGCGTTGCCCATGGAATAAAAAAAAATTCAAGAATATTTTATAGATAAACCTACAAAAGTGTATTTTAATTCGTTCTCGTTGTAAAAATAGTAAATATTTGCCAAGAGAAAACCTTTTGCTTTTTCTTATATAGAATCATTTTTCAAGACAGTCTTCACCTTGAAGTGTCGCCTGAGCTTGTATAGCCCAGACATGTACATTGTACAATTTAGAATACATTTGTATATAGAATTTGTACAAGCACTTGAATTAAAACTTTAGTTTAAAGGAAGCAATGGAAAATTTCTCATCGAATTTTGCTTAAGAAGTGTAACCTTAGTCTTTTATCCAGTTCTATCAGAGAATTCGATAATTCGAACAGATTCGATTTTTTCGAATTTAAAGTGCACATTTTTTACTTCGCTGTTTTTAAAAAATTTATTTTCTTTTTTCGCTCATTTTATTCTATGTTTAGGCTCATTATGGTTCTGGTGTATCAGCTGTCAATGGTTCTCTTTATTTGTATCTTTTTATCCAGATAGCGGTTAGTTTAACATTTGCACTGTAATATGATGTACCTCTTATACTTAGCGATGGGCAATGTTTTTTAAAATGTTCAGAAAAATACAAAGAAAATTGTTTGGGAAAATTTCAAAAATAAATTTTGCATTTTTACAATTTTAGGAAAAGAATATGATTGTTTTTGAATTAAATAAAAACTATTGAAAACGAAACGATCGTTTGGAAAACGAAAAAATAATTGTATTCCTTTGTTGTAAACGATCGTTGGGTTTTCAATTCTAAAAAATCGGGTTTTGCTTTTTTAAAGCGATATTTTTTTTCTTCAATCAAAGTCGTGTTTAAAAAAGTGAAACGGCCTATCCCTTCTTAGTATTGTAAAATTTAAATTACCCTTCCTATTAAAATATTTTAATTGTATAATTTTTAAGTGAAGCTAAATCAAATTTCGCTGACATTTTTCTTTTTAGATTTTTCAATAAAACATTTGTTTAAACCTATCTCGGAAAATAATTTGAAATATGAATATTTTGAATCTTAGTTCTTTAAGACTTATAATATGATTTAACATACTGTGGTCAGCGTTTATATCAATACTATGAAGACGACTTTTCTATTTAACTTTTGATTTCTTACAAGCTTTTTTCAAATTACAAATTTACAAGTAAACGAAGAGAAGAAGTTAATTGACAGCTTCTCTTTCTTTCCCACCATAGTTTCAGTAGAAGTAAATATTTCCATTTACTGATAGAGCTGATTAAAGGATTCATAACTCTAATTGGATAATGAGATAGATAAAAAGATAGATGTTACCGCCATACTTTTTTTATTGGTTCAGAATAGACAACAAACACATGACTGAACCCTGATTGGATCAGGCGCTAATGGACTCGGCATACAGGAGTGTTCCATGTTTATATGTATCCGTGCTGTTTGAAAGCTTGGTAGAAATCAAAAATTGAATTTAAAAGTCATCTTCATTGTATTGATATATACAACGACGACCGATGTATCTAAAAACGTCATTAAAAAAGTGATGTAAAATATATTTTGTATATGTCCTTTGCACGTTTTGTACTTTTATGCTTATGTAAAGGCATTGTCAGCGTTAATTATTAATTAATTCTTTAAAATTATGTTGACAATCCCTTTTATTTTCTGTATCTTGTGAATCCAGTGAAATAAATTTGAGAAAGAAAATAAGTTTTTTGGTAGAATTTTTAAGGTGCTCTGCGATCCTTTTTTTGTACATTTACCGATAACAAAGAAATATGTTTTATTGAACTGTTAGGAAAAAAATACTTGTAAAAATCCATAAAATGCTAAAAAAAATAAGATTAATGGGAGTGTTAGCGAAAAATTAAAGGGGGTATAGGCTTACGTCGAAAAGTATTCGATAGTGATCGCTACCAATCTTACATCTATCTGTTGCGTCTAAGGAGAAAATGGTAAAACACGACTCATACCGAAGAATGTAGCGTCCATACAAATTCACAAAGTTGCAATTTTTTGACTCGGATCGTAAAAAATTGAATTTAATTCCAAACAAATCTTTCAGATATTACAACCTATAATCATCGAATTTAATTCGATACATTCGTATATAGTTGATACTTCAAAATATATTTTTTCTTATTTATATACAATGCACTTAAAATGACGATTGTTTTGTCTGCTAGGTGTCTCTCCTCGCGTGGAATCATGCAGAAACATCGAGAGCAGAAGCACATGGGGATGAAATGCGTTGAATAAAATTCGATTATTATAGATTGTAATATCTGAATTATTTGTTTCAGATAGATGTAAGATTTTTTTCGCCGTAAGCCTAAACCCCCTTTTATTTTTCGCGAACACGCCCTTTAAACATAAATTTAATCGCCTCAGTACAGCTAAAAACCATTTATCCCAGTGATTGTTAAAAATGCAGGATAATTATTCTTTTTCAAATTAAAAAATTAAAACTTATTGGACATGCATTTTTTATAATTTTTCTCCTTATATCCTTTTTATGTATTTTTCTAAATTGAGAGAAATTCAAGTGTAACGAATTTTAAGGATTTATCATCAAAAAGTGCATCATGGGAACCAGAGGGCTTAACGTTGCAATTATACGCAACACTGCAAAAATGCATTTTTCTGCAACAGATCCACCTTATTATCTATCTATCTATCTTTTCACCTTATTATCTATCTATCTATCTATCTATCTTTCTATCTCTTCACCTTATCATCTATCTATCTACCTTATTATCTATATATCTATCTATCTATCTATCTCTTCACCTTATCATCTATCTATCTACCTTATTATCTATCTATCTATCTAAGTAATCATGAATGATCTAAACCAATGATAAATAGCCCCATAATGGATTAAGGAAACTGAATGAATTGAGGTGTTGTAGAACCATGTATATAGAACCATGGTAAGAATTAACTACAGTTCATACTAGAAGGTTTATACAGTTATAGTATACATGTAGCTAAATATAATGGATTAAGGAAACTGAATGAATTAAGGTGTTGTAGAACCATGGATATAGAACCATGGTAAGAGTTAGCTACAGTTCATACTAGAAGGTTTATACAGTTATAGTATACATATATGTAGCTAAACAAAAAAAATACGAAAGGAACTGTAAGCGAAAATTCAAATGATCCTTCACGCAAACATAGCAATACCCGATATACTGTAACCGGTGTGGGTTCAATAGCTCGGAATATGGATACTTCCATTGATGTAACCCCCTCAGTTCTCATACGAACCCGGAGCTAAACTCAGATTGCAAGTAGTCAAACCTATAAACAGGACAACGTATTAACTCTTTTGTATATATCTATATCATACAGAAAGTAGGGCGGATGATAAGTAACCAAAGTGGAGAAATATTTGTCGTTAGAAAATGCCATCCCAGTAACAATACAAAGGTACATTTGAAAATAATAGATATCCAGGTTTTTGTTTATTTAAATTTTTTTCAAGGGTAACTAAAATTAACGCTTACAGTCCCTTTAAAGGGACTGTGAAGGAAAAATGAAAGGGGGTATAGGTGATTTCCGTCTGTATCACGTGACAACAATACTGCAATGGCATTGGCTGAAGTTCTGGTGACGTAATACGGACTATATGGACTATATGTAATAATATTATCAATTTTATCTATTAAAAATGCAAAATAAAAATTAAAAACCAGAGATTCTCAGGCTCCTGTGGGATATCGTCGTTTTCAGATTGGTTGCCTATTTGTTTAATAGTATCTGTTTAAACCTACTACTTTTATACAAAATTGCAAATATATGAATTTTTGTATAGATTTTATATCAATTTCATCCTAATCCCACTTTTTTTTCTTTTACAGTTCCTTTAAGATATGAATGAGGTTTATTTAATTTGATATTTTAAATGAGTTTTTTTTTGTGAACGCACAACCTTTATTAGAAGCCCTGTATACAATTTCTTCAGAAACGATTTCATTTTGATTTTTTAGCTTATTACAAAGCTTATTTTAGAAATCCAAGAAAAAAAAATTAAGATCCGCGGATGGGTAAATAGATACATGGATAGATATAAAGATAGATAGTTCGATATATAGATTAATATATAGACAAATGAATAAATAGATAGATAGATAGATAGATAGATAGATAATAGATAGATAGATAGATAGATAGATAGATAGATAGATAGATAGATAGATAGATAGATAGATAGATAGATAGATAGATAGATAGATAGATAGATAGAAATTTTGTATAAATCTTAAAAAACAAGATTTTGTTTTTTTTCTAAGTTTTATTTTCTGATTTTGTTTAATTTTTGTTTCTCACAGATTACAGGAAGGAAAGGGGTTAATTAGATAAATTAAGGTAATTAATTACTTAACTTACAAACATTGAAAAGAAAAATTTAGCCCAAATAATACTTTTTTGAATTTTTCAAGATTTTAAAGACTGCTATTTTCTCGCTGAGAAAAGATTAATGTGAATTAGGGATTTTGTCATAAATTCAAAGTACAAACATATTAATATTCGAAAATTTATTTAGTTTTTTAACAAATTTTTTCAGTGAGAACCAGAAGATCCTAGACTAGGAAGACGACTTTTAGGCATACGTTATGACTTTAAATATTATAATAACCCTGAGACACAGCAACTGTGTGGTGTAAACAGACCCATTTCAATGTATAAATGATTTAATAAGTTACTAGTAAAAATATATACTTTGTAACATAATAAAATGCCCCCCCCCCTTTGTTTACCTGTGGACGTGGTAGTGTAGTAAATGTCCTACTCCATAAACTGTTCTCATACTTGTTTCTATCCAGGTATAACACGGTCACGATCCCGCCAAACGCCAAACGCCAAACCAATGTCATATTCAGGTTAACAAATATAAGGATAGCTACGATATTTGCTGTAGTAGTAGACTAAATATTATCCCAAATATAGGGATAGCTAAGATATTTTCTAAAGTAGTAGCCTAGAGATTATCCCAAATATACGGATAGCTACGATATTTGCTGTAGTAGTAGCCTAGAGATTATACCAAATATAGGGATAGCTACGATATTTGCTATAGTGGTAGCCTATAGATTATCCCAATTATACGGATAGTTACGATATTTGCTATAGTGGTAGCCTAGAGATTATCCCAAATATAGGGATAGCTACGATATTTGCTATATTAGTAGCCTAGAGATTATCCCAAATATACGGATAGCTACGATATTTGCTATAGTAGTAGCCTAGAGATTATCCCAAATATACGGATAGCTACAATATTTGCTGTAGTAGTAGCCTAGAGATTTTCCCAAATTTCCAATTTCCACTGCTTGCGCCGCGAGCTGCACTGAATGCAAAGATACATTTGCGTTTGTTAACAATAAACACTCTGACATGCATAAATGAGTCGAGAATGAATTCATTAACAATGCAACTTCTTCCTCAAATTTTAGTTTAGAGCACATTTGTGTAGAGATTATATAATTAGTTTAGTTGTTGCTGTGTTTGTCTTTGTTGTAGTTATTCTTGTTATTGTTATTGTTGTTGTTGTTGTTGTTGTTTTTGTTGTTGTTGTTTTTGTTGTTGACATTGTTGGAGTTATAGTTGTAGTTGCTGTTGTTTTTGTTGTTGTTGTTGTTGTTGTTATTGTTAATAAATCTTGGTACGTGCAATTTGCTTCAGTTTGACATGTTGGCATTAGAATTCAATAAAATCGGGTTATAATATAGAAATACAAATACAAATACATGTCCTTTCTTCGCATCCAATTATATGAGACTTTAGAGACTACTTTATTGTAAAACTAGCTTGAGAACCCAGCTTTGCCTGGAGAACAGCACAATTTGTGGTTCTAACAAAAGAAGTTTGAGGCAAATTGGACATACAAACAAACAAACAGCAAAACAGAGATTTTATATAAATAGATACGGCTTTTATTTCATGTTCTGCTCCAGCTATTGCATGTAAACTATGGCACATTTACTTTTCTTCGCAGATTTTTACTTTTCATATGTGGATTTCAAAAATGATTAAAAACTGAAAAATCCTTTTATAAATGCATTCTTTGTGGTTAAACATGGTTTGATACATAGTGAAAAGTTCTCAACATCATATTGTTTCGGAAGTTTGGTTGACAGTTGACACTTCTAGAAAGTTTTATAATATTCTACTTTCCTCAAGGGCTTCAATCCTATTTATAAATAAATTTCTTGGACTTTGGTCACCCCGGACTAACCATGGTGAATCTCGAGATGTTTTCTTCTATATGAATTCAATCACATGTTGGTCTCACTTTGGGCCGTAGTAAATTTGAATACGAACAGGACCTGCCCAGTCTGCCAGATAACAGCGTGTACTGACCCGATCCTATGGTACAATACGTCGCCCTAACCAGACTAACATACGACAGGGGTCAATTTTCTTGGCATAGTCCCGTCAGAGGGCTAACTATAACAATCCCATGGCACGTTCAGACTTTTTACAGTATCCGGCCTAATCCTAGGCCTATTTGACCGACCCCACTGGCTTAGTCCACCATGGTCTATAATTAAACAATCTTTAAAATTACGGTGTTGTCTTTTCAAATGTTTTGTATTTAAAGCATAGACACAATAAGTCTAAAAGAGAAAAGACGAAAAAGATCATGTTAAGTAAATATAATTGTAATAAAAAGTAAGAGTTCTCTGGGAAAAAGACCGAACCGTTAAATCCCAAGTGTTTTGTATGTCTTCTCATACTTCTCGCTTTAAAAACAGTGCTATCAATATATATTCATCATTTATATTTGTCTACCGCAAAATTACATTGAACGATATAAAAGTTTACAATTGAATTCTAATACTTTTTTCTCTGGATATTGCATTTTATAATTGACAGGATTTGCCAAAAAACAGGTGCCATAAAGACTTTTACAATGAGCATAGTTTTGTAGAAACATAGGTGGGCGTCGACAATAATATGTTAGATTGGCTAGTTGGTCCGTTGGTCGGTTGGTTTGTTGATCAGTAGGTTCATTGGTTAGGCTTCTTAACTCTAACACAGAAGTTGCAAATAATCACCTTAACAGATATATTTCAAACCTGCAATAAAATGCAGGTACAGTAAAAATAAATGTCAATGTATAAATGTTATTGAATGTTTAATAAGATGTCTTACTATTTTGTCCTGTCAGGGTGATAAGGAGTAATTAGGGATCAGAGGGTTTGATGGAATAGTTTAAAACATTTGTAAATACTTCCGAAAATATAAACCTGGTTGTTTAAGTGGAATTTACAATGGATTTCAAAGGTTTTTTTTGTAGATTTCAGTATGGAGGTAGAGTGGGAGAAATTGTTTGGTTTGGATTTGGGGCTGGTAAAGACAACATTACATGGGGGGGGGGGGCAAGGGGGTTAAGAGATTGGTTTATGGTCAACAAGTTTAGTTATTCAGATGTGGTTCTCAGAAACGGAGTTTCTTGGTCTCAGTCTGGTGTTTTTCGTTTTCTTAAAATGTGGTATGATGACAGCACTGTAAGGCTTGATAGATTTTGGAACATTGCTTTAAAACTAACACTGGGTTCGCAGAACTTATGCAGTTTCTTTCGATTTGCTTTATTTGATATATCCTCTTAAGCCAATTTCTAAAGGGTGAACAGACACATCCCTAGTTTCTTCTTCTCATATTTCTAGGTTTAAAAACAGGTATGATCAAGGATGAGGGATATACCCTATTGTTCTGGAAAATTATTATTTTCGATTGAGTTTTTTTTTTGAAAAAGTGACTTGCGGAGCTCTTTTATGGGAACCAATAAAAAAATTGTCAGATTTAAACACTTGCAAACCTGTAAAACGAGGAAATCTTCCAATACATTGATCAGATAATGGGTTGAAGGCAAGGGACAACTAGTAGATCCATAATTACAGGGTACTGTTTGTGATAGGTATAATATCACTCTTTAAATTACCTGTGGCCGAATTTAAAGAATTTGAGCGACGGTTTAAATTTAAGCCGCGGCTTAAATATGGTTGGTTCCACTTAAAATTGTATCAAGTGTTTCAAGATTTAAGCCGGCGCTAAATTTAAACCGGGTTTTGGCGGATTTTGGCGGATTTATACCGCGGCACAAATTCTTTAAATTCCATCTCTGAACTATTAAATGAATTAATGAAACACAATAAGTCGGAAAATTATTCAATAAAAAACATGATTTTAACAAAATATTTATTTCAATGAATTTACACACTTAGGATGTAATTACATGATCATAAAGGCAAACCCAGTTAGTTTTAGGTGATTGAGTATCAAATTCTAAAAGATTGGAAGATTTTTCTCTCTAAAATTTGTACAGTCTGGGATTGCTGGAAGCAAGATAGTTATCACGTGTACAGTGTACACAGGCCCAAGCGTGATAAGTTTGGCGCATTTTTTTCAAAATGGGCGACTTATCACGTAGGCGTTTATTTACAAAAATTTGTTCACATTGAGCTAATAGGCATTTCTTTCATGAAATAGAATGGCGACGGTAAAACCACGAGGCTGAGATCAGTTCAACTTATTTTAAAAGGTAAAATAAGTCGAATAGTGCCTTAAATGCCCGGCTTTTCCAAAAAAGAAAGAAATGCCTTTACAAAATTTTGATGATGTAAAAATCACCACATTCAAACTTTAAATAGTTTGAAAAATATCAAATTTAAGTTGAATATCACAAATTTTATGCAGATTACAGTTTTTAATGTATATACATGTATAATAGAGGCCAGTGGTTCAAAAATATTTTGAGTCTTTGGCTAAAAATGGCGCGTTCAGTCATTTTTATGTTATTTAGTATTCTTGGCAATTTAGGCTTCTTGGCAAGAAGGATTAAATATTAATTGAAAGCAACAGTAAAAACAATACAGGCAGTATAAATTGCTTTTAAGTCCTCGGAGAACATTGTATAGAGCCAGACTGGTGTTAAGTAATGTGAAATTAAAGCACTGTATGATTTATGATTTTTTGGTCTGTAGGTTATTTTGAAAACTAAATATGAAAAAATATTTTAATTTTGTCATAATTATGAGTCTATGATACTTTTCCTGTTATCAAAATTCCAAAAAAAATCCGATTCGTTTTTTTGTCTTCGCGCTTAAATTGAAACTTAAACGGTTTCTGAAGAACTGAGTAAAATCGAAAAATGCCTCTTTAAAATTAATTATGCCTGAAAGACTATGAATGGATTGAACTATTGGGCCCAAACGGGCCAGGCTCCTCTCGGACGTTGGCCGATTTGAGACTTTGAAATGTTTGTACTAAGCAGACTTAAGGCCACTGAGATAACTATCAAAATTGATGTGACGTGTTTTGCCAAAAGTCTTTTTTGAGAATTCTTGTTTAATTTTTAACAGGATATGAGAAGTCATAGTTTTGATTTTTCATTGTTGATTTGTACAAAACCGTAGTTCTGAGAATCAGTTGTTCTGAGAATCAGCTTTTCTGAGAAGTTGTTCTGAGAATCAGCTGTTCTGAGAATCAGCTGTTCTGAGATTTAGTTGTTCTTAGATTCAGCTGTTCTGAGAATGAAAGGCAATTTTAATTTTCTAATTGCATAATTAATTGAGTTAATGATTCTCGTTGCAAATTTGTTGGTCCAGCTCTGCAAACTCTTCTAGCACCGAGGCAACATAGGACATGCGCTCTCTGACCGGGGCGGGGGCGCCACGGCGGGCCAGGTCAGCTAGCAGGAAGCTATTACTCTGGCGGTCTGTGGAGACATACGTCACGACATGGGTCTTATCCCCACCAACTATCAGCTTAGTGTGATCTTTGAAATAATTCTGGAGCTATTATCTTTCAAAGGCCCAGTCTCAGAAAGGAAATTATTCATTTAGTAATAATAAAAATGATTATGATGACAATGATAATAATAATAATGATGAATCACTCAAAAGTCAAAACGCACAAATGAAAGGCATAAATTGATTAATTAAAATACCTGTATTGTTCCGTTGGTAAGATGCATGATGATTGCTTTAGGAGTCCGAACCCACCGTTTTATATGAGGAATAGTTGCTGGTTGAACACGTGACAATCTATAAAAATTCAACATTCAAAAAAATTGTTAAAAATTTTGTAAATATTTTTACCAATTATTAATAAAGAACAAGAAATTAAACAAAATACGTTTTAATAAAAAATTCTGGTATTTTATAACTAAACTCAAATTTTTGGCGGAAAAATTATCAAAAATGTTCAATTTATCATTCATATTTGTGTCTTTTCTTTAAAAATGTATCATTGAAATGTAATGAACAACAAAACATAAAAAATTTTTTTCAAAATAAGTTTTACCTGCGGCCAGTTTCTCCTCCCTCTGTTAGGTTTTGATCCATGTACTGAGCAAAGTATCGGAGGAGGGTAAACTTCTCATGTAGTCCTGGAGGTACTTGATGAGAGTTCATTGTTGACATGCTCCCTCCCTCCCCAAACTGTATGTAACTAAACAGAAAGTCACATCAGAAATTTCTTTAAAATAATAGTTTGAAAGGGAAACCTTAAAGGGAGTGTTCGTCAAAAATGAAAAAGGGGTTGACGTCGAATTGAAGTTGAATTCGATACGATCGCTATAAATTAAAGTCTTTAATACAGTGAAAACCAGAAAACTGTGGAACAGGAAGACGACATTATAGCAATCCTCATGGGTTGTGTTGTTAAAAAGCAAGAAAGTTTTACTACTAACTTATCAAATCACTCGTTAAGTTGAATGGGTCTGTTTACATTTCACAAACGCTGTGTTTTGTTCATTTGACTATTAAAGTCTTAACCTAAGTCTAAATGTCGCCTTTCTAATAAAAAGTGTTCTGGTTTCAACTTTTAGAAACCTTAATTTTGTCAGGAGGGTACCAAAAAAGTTGTCAAGAAGACCTGTGTAATGTTAATAATTCTTTATGTCTCTCCCTCATTGGACCTTTCGTTTTTAACAAATCAAAAATTATGAAATTGTCTGTTTATTATTGTTTCTTTTATGAATACACTGGTTGCCAAAACAATGTGTTAACTGAAGACGACCCTACCTTCTATCTGCAGAGTAACTGATCCGTGTATTGTCATTAAACAGTACACCAATACATCTATCAGTCAGTTGGAATCCGAATCCATATTTATTGCTGTAATCTATCCATTTACTGATAAATACTGTTGTATCCTAAACAAACAAAAAACATTTTTAAAAAGTTTGTACTAAGGGACTGTGCACTAAACCAATAAAAGTTTATTAGGTACCGTCTCGGCACTTTCGGTATCATGTTGTACACTGTTCACTGAATAGACTCGCCCGGTCATACGCTTGGTTACTAGTACAGTACCCTAGTAGGTAGACATACGGCAGGGGTCCATTCATTAACGCATTAACGTAGATTCAACCCGCCTTAATTAAACTAATATGGGACCGTGCAGGCTCGAAATAAAAGACTTGTACAGTACTGTTAAATTTGGACTAATATTCATAAATACAATATTTTTATGATTTCAAGTAATGCTAACTTACACGGAATTGAAGGGTTAGTGGTTATCACAGTGCCCTTATCGTTTCATCAGAAGCTGGTTAAATTAACCTAATTGAGTCTACTCGGCTAGAATCAGCAGGGTTTTTATACTACAGTTCTAATTAAGGGTTTGATAACGTTTATTGGATAAATGAGCTGATTATTCCGCTCAAACTTTAGTTTTATAATCTTTATATATTTGCAACCTGATGTCGTAGACATTTGATATTAGAAAATATGAAATCAGCTAGTTTAAAATAACTAAGTTTAAGCGAGTTTTCCTACCTTGGTTGGTTTGAGTGATGAATCTGACCTACTCGGCATATTCTGCAGCGCGCCGGTCAGAGCTTCATACAAACTCAATGTATTTGTTTTTAACTAAAACAATTAGATAATTAGGTAAGTTAAAAATCCTCTAAAAAGAAAAAAGGTTTGAACAAAATTCATTAGCATTAGTGCTAGAAAAGGTTGGATTTTCTGAAGTAGTTCAACTAACCGTATCAAATTCTATTACTTCTTGCTATTCATTTAATCCAACCTCAGAAAGTAAAAGATAATTTAAAATTTAGTTTAAATCTTACTTTTGGTTTCGGTGTTTTAAATACATCTATTGGTCTGAGCTCCATAGGGTTATGATGGGTGGACAGGTTAGGGTTGGGTAGGGTTAAGGTATGTACGGAGCTGGTTAGATTGGATATGTCCATATGATGGTTGAGATAGGGTTCAGGAGAAAATGAAGGAGTTTGAGAGCATGCCGAGGGGGGGAGGGACCTTGGGAATAAACCGGAGGAAAAAAACGTATCCTGAAAAAAAAATATTTTTAAAATTTTTGTTCACAATAATTGAAAAAAATTAGGTAATATACAGACACAATCTAAGTAATCTTATGTGTATTCGATGTTGGTTATAGGCTTGAAACCCAACTTATTAATTGAACTGGGTCTGTCACTCTGTGCACCATTGCTGGGTTTCGTGTGTTCATTTGTCTAGCTTGAGTCTAACAGACTTCTCCCTATTCCACAGTTTTACAGGTTTTAATATATTTTTCGATGATTTTTTTAGTATAATGATTTTTTTTGCTGGAATACCCTGCACCGTGCATAGTTTTATGGAACACCCTGCACCGTACATAGTTTTCTGGAACACCCTGCACCGTACATAGTTTTCTGGAACACCCTGCACCGTACATAGTTTTCTGGAACACCCTGCACCGTAGTTTTCTGGAACACCCTGCACCGTACATAGTTTTCTGGAACACCCTGCACCGTACATAGTTTTCTGGAACACCCTGCACCGTACATAGTTTTATGAATCTTCGTATCCCTCTGATCTCTGTAACAGGAGAAAAAGTTGTAAATCCAGTTTTTGTGAATTCTATCTCGCCAAATTTTCCTCTGTATATTCGCCAACTCCCGAGCTCATTATTCTCAATTTGCGGACTGCAAAATATACTTCGCATGCATTTTTGCAATCCGACGGTGCACTTGAACTTTGTCATCAGTAACTTGGAATTGACATTTTGGTTAAATAAACTTATTATTTAATCATCATGATAAATAAGTAAATATTACTTTTTTATACATCACTTGTAATACCGTACATTGCAAAAATAAATGTATAAATTAATGTACAGCTAATGTACAGCCAATGTAGAGCTATATACTAATTATGTACACTGTACAGATAATATACAACTAATGTACAGCTATTGTGCAAACCTGAGGTATGGATGAAACACTAGGCCTGGATCTAGGATTATGGTGAAGAAGACGACGTATAAGTCCGGCAGCACTTGGAGATACACTTTCAGGTATACTGTATACATTCTCAGCAATACGGGTATACGTCTCCTGGGTAAAAAATTATAGATAAAAAGTTCAAATCAAAACTGGAAAAAAATATTTAATCCATCTGTTTTGGCAACCAGAGGCCGGATTTAAAGAATTTACACCATGTCGCTGATCCGCCATAAACCTGGTCCAATTGAGCGCCAAATCTCGAAACACTGAATACAATTTCAAGCGGAACCAACAATTATTTTAATTCGGCCTCTGATGTCTTAACTCTTTAAGCATAAAAACTATTAATTCTGCTAGATCTAACAGTTCAAGTTAATTAACTTCAAGACTTTAGGAAAGACTTTAATAATAGAGTTGGGAGTGGGACAAGATTTACTTCATTAAACGGAAAAATACTTGTCAATTGTAAGAACCGAAATCAAAATTTAAAAATTAAAATAATTGTCGTTTATTAAATAAAAAAATTACGACAAAGTTTCGCCTTTTAACGTTAGAAACAAAGTTTTCCCCGTGGACAATGAAAAAAATTAGAAAGAAAAAACATTTTGCAAAACTTCAAAAAATTATAAATTTGTTTTTACCTTGAGAGTTAATGTTTCGAAGGGAGGAGATCCGACTAATAAAGCGTACATAACACAGCCTAGTGTACATAAATAATATTATAATAAGGAGTACATAACACAGCCTAATGTACATAAATAATATAACAATAAGGAGTACATAACACAGCCTTGTGTACATAAATAATATTATAATAAAGCGTACATAACACAGCCTAGTGTACATAAATAATATTATAATAAAGCGTACATAACACAGCCTAGTGTACATAAATAATATTATAATAAAGCGTACATAACACAGACTAGTGTACATAAATAATATTATAATAA